TAAAGGAATTTTCCGTATTGTTTTACCCGTATTTTAAATGACACATTCACTGCATTGCATTGTGTTTTATGCTTAAAGGAAATGTCAGTAAACTTCACTTTTCTGTTTTCTATAAAAAAAATTTTCTTATAGTGCACTATATCACTTTTATTTGACATTTATGTCAGCTGTAGCTCAGGTAGAGCATCAGTTCTGTGGTTAGTTTGAGTCGGAGTGCTGATTAATGCTGTCTAGAGTGAAACAGAGTCTCAGTATATATCACTCACTTCACTCCAAACTCATTGGAAAGAAAAGTCAAATGAGTTTCTAGAGTTTCACATCTCAAACTTGGCAAGAAACATTGCAAATCAAATGCAATGACCTGAGCTGCTATTCACATTCATTAAAGCTCTAACTGGAGAAAAATCTAAGACAAACTTAATACTTAAATGAAACAAATCAACGGAGTCTCCAGAAATATGACAGAAAAAGCATTACGGTTCTCAGAAAATATCATCTCATGTTTTGATGATGATAAAAATGTTTCGTTATACTAACAGCTTGATATTTAGTAACTTTTTTTCCTACAAAAATATCCACAAATAAAGACGAGTAAATCTTGGATCTTTGTGAACTTTACATTGTGCACTGAAATCAACTCTCCTCACTTACCCTGTATATCGTCGCCAAGGCTCCAGTCGACCTGCTTTCCTGCTTGGTTGTAGTGATGGTCTCCATGGTAACCTCCAAAGGACTCTTCACCACCTTGGTGACCTATAAAACACTTGATTACTTTGGTAATTTATTAAAGACTCTATCACCTTGGAAACCCATAAAAGTTTCTGGATTGCCTTGGTAACCTATAAAACACTTAATTACCTGGATTGCATTGGTAACCCATAAAAGATTCTTGACCACCTTGATAGCCTTTAAAAGATTTTAAATCACCATGGTAACCTATAAAAGATTCTTGATCACCATGGTAACCCATAAAAGTTCTTGATCACCTTAGTGACCTATAAGACACTTGATTACCATGGTAACTTATCAAAGACTCTTTAACCATGGTGACCTATACAAGATCCTTGGTTACCTTGGCAACCTCCAGCGGACTCGGCCCAGGATGACTCGTCCAGTGTATCACCATGGTAACGGCTGAAGGCGTCAGTGATGGAGCTGATGGATGATTCCTCTCCGAACTGACTGTGCAGTCTGGGCCGGAGCGGAGCGGCGCTGAAGGAGCTGATGGAGCTCGTGCTGTAACGAGACGAGTAACGAGACGCCATGAGCTGACGGATGGAGGCCAGGAGCGCGCTCTCTGCGGTCATATAGAGAGCTGCCCCGGTGCATTATGGGATATCTGGACTCTCTAACCGCTCCATAAAAGGCCGAGCCCCTGGAATCCACTTATGGAGTAACGGTCAGAGAGATAAGACACGGAAAACTTCTCCAAACGAGCGGGAGAAACAGTGTTATCAGAACCACCCACAGAATCACACACAGATAAAAACAGCTGAAAATAAACAAATGAATTATTAATAATAAAAACAACAACAAAACAAAGTAACCACACAATTAGGGATCATAATTAATATATGATATCTGTTTCGATGCTCAGTGGTGATGATTTGGGACATTATTTCCATTAAAAATAAATGGAAGAATAAAGTTAAAATACAGAATTATTTAAATATAGAAAATAATAAATAAAGGAAAAAGTAATACAAAATAAATGCAAGACTAAATTTAATTTAAAAATAATTGTATTTGTTTTATCAAGTCATATTCATTCATTCATCTTTCTATTGTTTATTTATTTACTTATTTTGCAGGTTTGTTTGTAGTTTCAGTGCTCAGTGGTGATGATTGGTAACTTTACTTTCAAGCTTTATAAACAACATTAATTGATTTTATTAAGAGCACAAATAAGAAAAATGTATGCATAAATAAATGAAAGAATAAAAATTCAGTTAAAAATAAATACAGAAACAGAAAATAATAAAAGGGAGAGAGTAACACAAAAATAAATTCAGGACTAAATAAATTAAACTATTTAATTTTTGTTTGTTTGTTATAATTTAAATTAATTTCATTTTATTTTTTTCAAGTTTGGTCCATATTTTCAATGCTTAGTGGTGATGATTTGTAACTTTACTTTCAAGCAGTAAGATATCCAGACAGCAACTTAATAAATAACAATAATAGCTTTTATTTAGAAGCCAAACACGATGCAAAAACAAACACTCTGATATTAAAATGACCAGCAGTCAAATACTCATAAGAAAAACAAAATGAAAGGTGTAGAGTCAGACTGTAGCGTGTGCGGTTCGTTCACTACCAAGGGACTGAAGAGAGTCTACTTAAGCGCTGAATGAGAGACTTCAGTCCAACACGTCTCTGGCCCCAGGAAAGTGTCCGCAGAAGGGGGCCTTCACTCAGTCACAGTCCAGCGACTCGATTGGACGGTTAAACGTGCATCACAACAGGCAGCATCCGGCCAATCAGAGCGCGGAGTGACAGACAACTCAAGACGCTTTTTATAGCGTTTAACCTTAAAAAGAGCTAATCTTCACACACAGAGAGAGAGAGAGTCGGGATAAAGGAGAAACACAAGGAGAAAGAGTGAGATGAGAGAGATTGAAAGTGAAATGTACATTTTTAAAATGATTTTCTATTAATTATTTCATGATTATAAAAATGTAATAATTTTGCCTATTTGCTAACTACTAAATACTGCTAAGGAAAAATAATTTATTTACTTGTTCATTTAAAATGTTGCAGGTTTGTCTCCATGGTTTCAATAGTCAATGGTGATTATTGGTAACTTTACTTTTTCAAGCTTTATAAATAACATTAATTGATTTTATTAAGAACCCAAACAAGAAAAAAATGCATAGATAAATAAATAAACATAAAAATGAAAGAATAAAAATTCAGTTAAAAATAAATGCAGAAAATAATAAAAA